GCCAATCTGCGCGCATGCTGCTAGCATTTTGCTATCTGGGAATATTTTTTTAGACAAATCTGATTATTGAAATTTTGGATATTCTTTCTCATTCAAAAATGTCTTAAAAATTGCATACATGTACAATTTTTTTATTATTTATTAATATAAAAATTATGATTTAATCTTGACATAGGATGTGTTGTGAATATTCAATCTTACATAATTAATGTGCGATAAACTGATAATGTAAGATTAAAATTAAGATATTTCAATCGTCACAGGATCTTAAAAAATGCCATGAATATTCCAATTATTAATGATTGTATGTATATAATAATTTTCTGGGAACGCGTATAAAAGACCCTTTTAGTTACGTTTAGATGAGGGCGCTAACCCATCGGAGTTCGCCCGTCAGTTCAGGATCCCCTTAATAGAAATATTTTCAATTTAATATTATTTATCTTGTTATTATTTAATTATCGCTTCTCTGTTATACCACACAGATACAAATTTATACAAATATTTTTATTTTTCTCTACCTGCATTCTTATTATTTTTTATCGAACATTTTATTATTGTAATAACGTTTGAGCAATCTCTTTATTGTGACTAGTATTATATTGTGAAATTTGTCATCAGCAAATTAAGAGCTGATTGATTGAAAATTATTAAGATATTTTTAAGACTTCAAAAGGAAATAAACTTGACATTGTTCTATTTTTAATAAAAATGTGTTATTCGCTCATGCATCATATATAAAATGTCATACATTGACTTTGAGGATTATTCATCCTTTGTCATATAAAATTACTTTCGAAATGCACATAACTCAGCTTATACATAAGTATATAAACACGCGAGACTCTTAATATTAAAAGAGATTCACTAAATTTTTTTCTATCCTGTATTATCTGAATATTAACGTGTAACTTGTCAATATTTCATCATTTGCTTTCAAGTGAAGTTGTTCAGGAAAAAAGCTCAGTACAAAAAGCACAACTCGTAATAGATGAGTATGACAAAAAAAAGAGAGAAAAATTGCGTGATTCACACGTGCTTGGTACAAATCGTCGGATAAGAAAGACAGTCAGTTGGGATACTGATAAACGGTATTATCTAAATTGTAAAAGGCTATCTGCTCGTCGACCCATTGACGGGCATGGGCTACGTTGGCGTAAACGCCAGGAGTTCCGTTTTCGCCGCAACCAAGTCCCCAGGCCACGATTCCAGCTTGAACATATCTGCTTGGATTGTCTTTTAAGGGACACACCAATGGGCTTCCACCATCACCCTATAAAAAAGAAAATCGAATAATCATTTTCTTGTCTAATATAAAATACAAAGGAGAGAGGAACGTTCTTTGCAGAAAATTGTTGGGAGAGAAAGTGACTTGAGTTATAGCTCAAATTTATAAAATTTAACACTAGCATTCATATATAAATAATTATTGCTCCAATTTTTGTTTGTTTTTCGGGAAATTACAGCAAGATACGATTGTCCAATGCAAGAAGATTAAAAGAAAAATATTTGATCGAGATTCTTATTACACGGTTCTTTGTAATCTTGAATTCGCGAACTATTATACGTAATTGTAAAACAAAAATAAAGTGAATTTGATAGAACAGCTCTACACAAATCAATATTACAATTATATAAATAACAAAGAAATTTTTGTGAAGGATGCTTCGAATTTACCTTGCAAGTATCTTTCCC